CCCAAATAAAGTGGTTTTTATTGTGATCTTCTATAATGTAGACATGATTGATTCATTCAAAAAGTAATCGAATAACATTAGCTTTAATTTTTAAATTAGGCATTACTTCTTTAGCAATTATATTAAATATAATAATATTAATTTATAATTAAAATTAATTTTTAATTAATAAATATAAAATAATTTTAAATAAATATTAATTTGTTACAAACAGAGATTTAATTTTTATATTAATTAAAATTTTTTGAGATAAACATTATTGCACAAGTCATTACATTTTCGTTAATTTCTTTTATTTCCATCTATAGCTATTACTATTACTAATTGAACAAAGGTTTAAGTACCATTTTGGTCCCTCAACTTTGCACTTTGGTACCAAAAATGTCCCTCATCTTAAAAAAGTACCAAAATTATCCTTGAACTTTCATTTTTGGTACCAAAATGGTCCTTCCGTCAGTTAAACGCCAGGTGGCCCGTTAAGATGCCACAAAATCACCGGCTTTTTTTATTTTTAATGACGTGTAAATCCAGCAAGGACATTTTTGACACCCTGGCATTTTCCACGTCAGATTGCTTCCCCACTTTTCAGATTCACTTTTTGTGGGGCCCACATGAAAAAAAACAAATAGTTTTCTTTTTCCAGTTTTAGTTGAGTTCCCCAAAAGTGGCAGTGTTCTTCGTCTTCTTTCTCTGTCATTTCCCTTTTCAGATTCGATTCGAAACCCTAAACCTACAACCTGCTATTTCTGCGAAATCAAAAGCGAATCAGGCTTTAAACTTGTAACCATCGAATCTTTCAATCGAATCTGTTGATATATCCATTCAATGGATGCCGAACCTGGAACTGGGCATACGAACCGGAAGGTACCAGAAGTTATACCCGAAGTCATAGATCTGGAGTCTATGGAGATCGAGGATAAGGTACGTTATGTTTCTTGATTATTTACGTTTCGTTCTTAAAATGGCGTTGTTCTATTTATCTCTGCTTAGCATGTCAGAAAACATGGGGATAGGAAATGGGTCTGTGGGGTTTGTGTGTTACCTTTAGAGAAACAAAGGACATTGGACTTTATGCTGTTTTCTTTGTTTTAAAGTGACATTTGGTCCCCACATTGTTGTCTGTATGTAGATTCTTTATATGACCATGCAGACAGATAAATGCATATATAGTAATTTATTATTATTAAATAATTAATGAACTAAAAGTGGTTGGTTTGGATGCAACACTATTAATTGTTGAGTATTGATTATCTTTTTATTTTTTATATTGTTGATATGAATAGATTGAAGAAAAGAGTGGTGACTACCTGCCAATGTATATCCACATTGGTGGTAGTTTTAAACACGACCGCGATGGTAACCGTATATATGTTGATGGGGAGTGTGATACATGGCAAGTGAATCCGGAGTTGTTAACAGTTTGGGAGTTTTATGAGAAAGTTAGAATTGGTAGATATGATGTTGATCTAGTGGAAGGTATTTATTATCTTGAACCAAGCAAATCACTGGATGATGGTTTAAAGCAAATTATTGGAGACGACACAGTTAGGGAAGTGTTGGATGTGATGAAGGGACATGGTGAAGTTCATATATATGTGGATCACATCCCCAACTTTGCTGAAATAGTTCCTGTATCTCCTATTTTAATGCTCCCAGCACCTGGTGATCCTTTAGAACCTGCACCTGGTGATCCTTTAGAACCTGGTGGTGGGGTTTGTAGTGATGCTGGTGGTGGGGTTTGTAATGATGCTGGTGGTGGGGTTTGTAGTGATGCTGGTGGTGGGGTTTGTAATGATGCTGGTGGTGGGGTTTGTAGTGATGCTGGTGGTGGGGTTTTTAGTGATGCTGGTGGGCTTTATAGTGATGCTGGTGGGAGTAGGATCAATGAGGATGAGGCATTTCATGAGGTTGGTGAAAGGAGGGACAATAACAGTGATGAACAGGATGGAATATTTAATGAGGCTGGTAGTTATAGGAGCACAGAACATGGGGACCACTTTGTTGCTGGTAGTAGTGATGTCCAGAATGATTGTTTTCCTCAACAACCTGCTGATATAGATAATGTTGAAGAACTTGAGGAAAATGAGTATGAGCATGGGCTTGAGGATTTTCCTGAGTTGTCTGACAATGAAGATGAGGAGACTATTCTAGCAAGGGATAATTTGAGGCATTACAGTTCGACTCAACAGCATGCTGGTATTACTCTTATTTTCATAATAGTGTTATCCATTTACTTTTTAAGCATAATTTACATTTACATTTGGTGTTAATAAATATTTGTTTCTATTGTAGATAATATAAACATTGCTGTTCAAGGTGAGGATGATGCAGAAATACACTCTGGTGATGAAGTAAGTTACCAAACCACAAGTGATGAAGAGGACAGTGAAGCAGAACATGGTGTCAGAAGAAAAGCAAGGCATCCTGTCTTTGATGAAAGTGAAGGCAACCAGGAAATTGAGCTTGGTATGATATTTCTTAATAAGAAACAATTCAAGAAAGCTGTGGGTCAAATGAGCATCAGGGAAGGGAGAGAGATTACATGGAAAAAAAATGATAAGCTCCGGATGAGGGCAGTGTGCAAGAATGAGAAATGTGACTGGAAGATTCTACTGGCGATGGACACTCCTACAAATTCTTGGATGGTAAAAACTTTCTATAATAGTCACACATGCTCGAGGACTGTTACAAATAAAGTTTGCACATCATCTGTTGCTGCTGATCATCTGGTTAAGACAAGAGGAGTAGCTTCCCTGCGTATGAATAGGGGAGATGTTTTTGAGTCAATTCGGGATGATTTAGGTGTGGAGTTGACACCTGTGCAACGCAAGAAGACAAAGGATAAGTTGAAGAAGAAATTTGAAAGTGTTTCTAATGCTGAATACAGCAGGTTATTTGATTACGCAAATGAGCTTAGGTCAAAAGATCCAGAAGCAAGTGTTGTGCTTCAATGTTGTAGACAATCAGCAGATACAACTCCTACATTCTTAAGGATGTACGTCTGTTTCAGTGCGTTGAAGAAGGGGTTTCTTGCTGGATGCAGACGTGTAATAGGAGTTGATGGTGCATTCCTCAAAGGTGCCTACAAAGGAGAGTTGCTGACTGCTGTTGGACGGGATGCAAACAATCAGATGTACCCGATTGCTTGGGCTGTAGTGGAGGTTGAGAAAAGGGAGACATGGGAATGGTTTTTTGAAGAACTGAGGAAAGATTTGCTCATGGGTGATGGAAGCAGGTTTTGCATTATGTCTGACCAACAAAAGGTAAGTACCAACGTGTTTTATGACTTATTTAGCATTATAAGCAATTGGGTCCTCTAGCACTTCATGTTCATGTGATTTCAGGGACTTACACTTTATGTTCATGTGATTTTAGGGACTTGTTAAGGCTGTGGAGGAGCTCTTCCCATGTGCTGAACACAGGTTCTGTGCTAGACATAAGTACAGCAATTTTAGGAAGCAGCATAAAGGCAAGGAGCTGCAAAAGGCATTTTGGAAGTGTGTTAAGGCACGAACCATACCTGAGTTTACCAAAGCTTTGGATGAGTTGACATCATTGAAACCTTCTGCAAGGGAAACTATGTTCAACACAGACCCAAAGCATTGGTGTAGAGCGTTCTTCCAAACAGAGACAAAGTCAGATATAGTTGATAATAACATGTGTGAGGTTTTCAATGGATTGTTGGTTGAATCAAGACATAAGGCTATTGTCTCATTGCATCAAGATTTGAGGGCATTTTGTGGTCAAAGGACAGTGGCAAGAAGGGAATTTGGGGATAGAAAGTTTGTAGATGATTTTGGTCCAAGAACATGGGAAAAGCTGGTAGCAAATACGAGGGGAAGCAGAAGGTGCAAATTCTTGTGGCCGGGGAGTAACTGTTATGAAGTTCAAGAGAATGGTGCGGATGTATACATGGTTAATGTGGATGAAAGAAAGTGCACATGCAGGGAATGGGATCTCACTGGAATCCCTTGTAGGCATGCCATGGTAGCTATTAACGCTAGGAAGGAAAAAGCAGAAGATTATGTATCACATTGGTATAGGAAGGAGAAGTTTAAAGCTGCTTATGAGTATGCTGTACCTGTAACTGAAGGGATGAATCAGTGGGAGAAAACTGGAATGCCACCTGTTCAACCCCCACCAGCTAGGAAAATGCCAGGAAGGCCAAAAGGGAAGAGGGTTTTGGAAGAATGGGAAGGGCACACTAACGTGAGTCGAAAAGGGAGACAGATGACTTGTCAAAAGTGTTTCCAAAAAGGACACAATTCAAGAAAATGCAAAGCACAAGGACCCACCACTGTAAGTTTTAATTTTTTAATTTTAGAAAACAGTGTACATGACAGGAGGTTTAATTTAGATATATTTTAACTTGTTGTAGGCCCCTCAACCTGAAAATGCCAATGCAAGTGAAGAGCAAGTTCCTGTTGAAGATTCCCAACATCCCACAACAGTCACTGAAAATGATGTAACTTTTTGCAATTTCTTTTTTTATTGTTTGAGGATATGCTTGTACAAACTGTTGGACTATTGTGTAATAAACCATGCACCATTTTTTTTTTTTCAGGATTCTCAAATTCCTTTGAGTCAAGTGGTGAACCCAACGCCTGTCAATGATCCAATGTCTGTGCAGAATCAGAATGAAGAGAATACCAATCCAGCAACTGTCCAGCAACAAAAAAATAGAGCTCAAAAACTTGCAAAAAGGAAAAACAAGAAGGTTAGTTCCTAAAAAATATAGTTAATGCACACCTTGATTTATCTGAGATCAGATTAATAATTTATGTAAAATTTTTTTAGGGCCAAAGGAGTTCAGCATCAGCAACTGCAAATCCCCCTGCAGCTGCACCACATGCCACTGTAGAAACTCCGCAACAACCTAAAAAAAGAGTGAAGACAACTGCAAAAGAACCACCAAGACATAGGGCAAAAAGTGTTGGTAATAGGTCAAACCAATAAAAAAGGAAGTTGTTGCAATATGTTTGTTTGATACTGGATAATTGGTAGTATATTTTGCTTTGTGCTTGTGTTTGGCAAATATGAGACATTTGATTGGCAAGCTAGTTTTTGGTATATGCTTGATACTTGACACTGAAAATGAGAGATTTTTTGTGTGTAAGCATTGCTTGATACTTTGTACTATGTGTATCTAATCTTTGTTTTTTTGGTAATTTATGTGTATCTTGCATGTTTGGTTTTATGCACTTAGTGCCCAGCATTTGGAAAATATGCATTAAATTTCCCTAATTTCTAAAATGAATGTTGAACTCACAGGAAAACTCACCGAAAAACATGCCATACAAATTGCAACAACCACATTTCATCACATTTCTGGAAAATAACACTTTTGGAGATGGGATGAGATGAAATTCACAATATATCATTACCATTACCATCTGGTTTCAGTACATACAACATTCTACATCTCATTCACTTCCTAAGTACAAACAACCCAGCAATCACTGCCATAACAATAAAAAACACCAAGCAGACAAATTGACTAATTATGGCTGCTTGAGAGCTTCTCATCTCTACCTTCTTCACTTTCTTCTCCAGCATCCTTATCTTTCTATCCATTAATCTACTTTGTGTCTTCATGAGTTCATTTTCCTGCAACAATTTGGCATTTTCCTTCATCAAATCTTCCTTTTCCTGCATCAAGTTTCCCTTTTCCAACTTCAGCTTGCCATTCTCTTTCTCGATTCTTTCTTTCTCCTTCAGATTTCTGGATTCCCTATCTTTATATATCAGTAGTAAATCCCTAGCTCTTCCCTCGATTCTTTCCTCACCAGGTAAGAAATGGAAATATGGGCATTGACCCTAATACA